CTGTCTCTTGCGGTCAGACAGCGGACCTGGGAAGTTGGGGTTTGAGTCCCTGACAGCTGGTTGCTGGGTAGACTGGCAGGGTCTCTAGGCCCCCTCCCAGTCCTCATGTCATTGTTTAGAACAATAGGGAGTTTAAGCACCCACCCAGGTGTGTGAGGCCAGTCACACAGGTAAAGTGGCCTCTCACTTACTTCAATGAGCTGCTTAGCCACTAGAGGGATAGACAGGTGAGGAACCAAGTTTGAAAGATAGAAAAAAGGGAAAAACACTGGCACAAGGGGAACAGGAAGGAGGAAGGAGGCTGTGATATAAATCCTCCACAAAGGGTCAGAAGGGAGAGCAGTAGAGTGATGTCACAGTGAGCATCTGCCATAGGTCACCAAACCAGGAAGTAGAGGTGAATGAGGCCTCAAAGAAAACTGTCAGAAGTTTCCAAATCACAGGGCCTGGTTCTCAGTTACCACGACATCTGCTGAAACAGAAACATATCAGTACACAGAAAATTCTTAATGTGCTAAGAGAACTTTTTAGTACAAGTCAGTGACCTAAGAATCGATGGAAAGCTGGGTGACAGTGACCATGAGTTGATCACCTTTACTATCCATTGCAAAGCTGGCAAGTCAGTCAGCAATACTGAAGTCCTCAACTTCAGGAAAGCTGACTTTGACAAACTCAGGAGGCTCATTGTCGAGGCCCTAAGGGACCATGACTCGACTGGAAGAGGAGTCCAAGAGGAGTGGTTGCTTCTCAAGGGAGTGATCCTAACAGCACAAGGGATGGCCATCCCATCTCAGAGGAAGGGTAGCAAAAGTGCGCAGCAACCCCCTTGGTTCATCAGAGAACTTGAGGATCTCCTATGCCTCAAAAGAGAGACTTATAAAGCATATAAGGCTGGAATTACCACCAAAGAGGATTACTCAGCACTGGTCCGTACATGCAGGGATCAGCTCAAGCCAAGGCTGCAACCAAGCTCCATCTGGCTTCACATATCAAGGATAACAAAAAGTCATTTTTCAGATATGTAGGGAGTCAGAAAAAAAGCAAGGGTAACGTTGGACCCCTGCTGAACCAAACAGGACAGCTGATAACTGACACCGAGGAAAAAGCCAACCTGCTTAATGGATACTTTGTGTCGGTCTTTCATCAGTCCAATGGGACTGCCCTGCCTAGCAAGACGCGGGACAGCCAGGGCAAGGATGTATTTATACCCTGCATCAATGTTGATCTAGTAAAGGATCACCTTGAGAGGCTGGACTCCTTCAAGTTAGCTAGTCCTGACAGATTACACCCTAGGGTAATCAAGGAGCTGGCAGGTGTCATAGCCCAACCATTGGCAACAATATTTGACAATTCATGGTGCTCAGGTGAAGTACTTGAAGACTGGAAGAAGGCCAATGTGGTACTCATCTTCAAGAAATGGCAGAAAGTAGATCCTGGGAATTACAGGCCAATCAGCTTGACCTTAAACCCTGGTTAGATTCTCGAGAAAATTATCAAGGAGACCCTTCTGGATAAGGTGGCTGAGGGCAACATCCTGAGGGATAGCCAGCACAGGTTTGTTGTGGGTAGGTCTTGCCTGACCAATCTCATCTCCTTCTATGACCAGGTGACGTATCACCTGGACAAGGGAGAAGAGATTGATGTCATATACCTGGACTTCAAAAAAACCTTTGATCTGGTGTCCCATGACCTCCTAATGGAAAAATTGGCCAGCTGTGGCCTTGGCTACACTACAGTCTGATGGTTGGGAAATGGGCTCCGAGGTCGGACCCAGAGACTAGTGGTCAACGACAGCAAGTCATTATGGCACTCTGTGACCAGTGGCGTCCCCCAAGGCTCTGTCCTTGGTCTGGTTCTCTTTAACATCTTTATCAACGACGTGGACACTGGTGTCAGAAGCATACTGGCTAAGTTCGCCCACGACACAAAACTTTGGGGCATAGCATCCATACCTGAGGACAGGCTAGTGATCCAGGCTGACTTGGATAAGCTTAGTAAGTGGGCGGACACAAACCTGATGATGTTCAATATTGATAAATGCAAGGTACTCCACCTTAGGGAAAAAAATCTGCAGCATACTTATAGGCTCGGCAGTGCTACACTTGCTAGCACCACTGCTGAAAGAGACTTGGGGGTCATGATTGACCACAAGATGAACATGAGCCATTAATACAATGTCACAACTGGTAAAGCAAACAAAACCCTGGCTTGCAGCTATAGATGCTTCTCAAGTAAATCTCAGGATGTCATCCTCCCACTGTACTCGGCCTTGGTGAGGCCGCAGCTGGAGTACTGCATCCAATTCTGGGCTCCGTAATTCAAGAAGGATGTTGAGAAGCTTGAGAGAGTCCAGAGGAGAGCCACGCACATGATCAGAGGGCAAGAGAATAGGCCTTATGAAGAGAGACTGAGAGCCATGGGACTTTTCAGTCTGGAAAAGCACAGGCTCAAGGGGGACCTGGTGGCTGCTTATAAAGTACACAAGGGGTGTTCATCAGGATCTGAGAGAATGTCTGTTCACCAGAGCACCCTCAGGAAAAAAAAAGACCAACAGTCATAAACTCCTACAAGACCGTTTTCAGCTGGACATAAGAAAAATTCTTACTGTCCAATTCCTCAGGACCTGGAATAGACTCCCTGCAGATGTGGTGCAGGCACCTACTCTGAACTCATTCAAGAAATGATTGGATGCTTATCTTGCTGGGGTCCTTTGACCCTAGCTGACTTCCTCCCCCTGGGGCTGGGGGCTGGACTTGATGATCTTTGAGGTCCCTTCCAGCCCTAACGTCTATGAAATCTAAGTGGTGGAGAGGCTAACTAGTAGGGGGAAGTTCTTCTTAACTTCCTGATGATCACAAACAGGGGTTGAGAATGGTTAAGAATATGAAGGTGGAAGGTAATTTGGCTGACAGTTTTGAGGACTGTATATCTTTAACCTATAGATGGAGCCAGAAGGTGCCTATACACATTCATTAATGTGCAGTAGTTACTGCACATTTAGTTTAGTACTTACTTAATGAAGTACCAACTAAATGCACAGTAACTACAATTACTGCACAGTAGCATCAGAAAATGGTTTTTTAGTGACACTTACTGTACAGTAGCTGAATACTACTGCATAGTAGAGTATTAGCACAGTTTTTGCCCAGCAAGCTACTGCACAGTGTTATTAGGCTACTGAACATTAAATGTCTCATGTAGGCATCCCCAGAGAGAGCTAGGAGAAAGTCTCACGGCTGTCTGTGTGCTGTTAGCATGAATAAAGAGACCTCTTTGCTAAAGTGGCTCCTGGCTCAGTGAACTAACCCCACAACATGACAGCAGTGACAACAAAACGATAAGAATTCAAGTTACTTAGGAAAAGGAGGAAAGAAAGAAACAGAATGAAGACACTGGGCTTCAGAAAAGCAAACATTAATGAATTCAAGGAATTGGTGAGCAGGATCTCCTGGAAAGGAAGTCTAAGCAGAAAAGAATTCCAGGAGAGCTAGGTTTATTTTAAGAAGGCTCTTTTAAGGGGACAGGAGCAAGGTATCCTGATGCAACAAAAAAAAAAGGGAAGTGCAACAGAAAACTAGCCTTGTTAAACAAGGATCTCTTAAATGAGTTGAAACTCAAAAAAGAATTCTACAAAAGTGGAAACTGGGTCATATTATTAGGGAAGACTACTAAAGTATTGCACAGGCATGCACGGAGAAAATCAGGAAGGCCAAGGCATGATTTGATGCAACTATTTAAGAATGCAAAAAGCATTATAAAAGGATTCTACAAGTATGCCAGAAGAAGAAGAGAAAATAAATGGTACTTTACAGAATGCAGAAGGCAACCTAGTTATGGATGATGAAGAGAAGGCTAAAGTATTTAATGCCATTTTTACTTCAGGCTTCATGAATACAGGCAGCTACCAAATGACAAAGATGAAGCAAAAGTGGGAAAAGAGGCAAACAACAACAAATAGTGGAAGAACAGGTTAGGGATTACCTAATGAATCTATATGCTTTCCAGTCAGCAGGGCTGGATTTCAATGATAAGACCTAAAGTATTGAAAGAACTGGTGCAGGTAGTTTCAGAGCCACTGGGTGTGTCTACATGTGCTATTAATACACTGTAAAGCTTTCCCTGGGAGCGCATCTGTATGTGTGCTCATTGGGAGCAGTTCAGTACAGGGCTACTCCTGCCATGCTCTGCCCCACCTATAGCAGCCAGGCTCCCCCAAGTGTCAGCCCTGGGCTGGCAGTGGGCACGAGGGTCAGGCTCCAGTGGGTAGGGTGAGCTGTCCCACCTCTGGGGCAGCAGTTCCCCAGCCCCGTGCCTTGGATCAACAGATCCAGGGCATGGGGCTGGTAAACAGCTGCAGGGGAGAGGACACTTTCCCAGTCCTGTGTCCTGATCTGCTGATCTGGGGCATGGGGCTGGGAAACAGCTGCTAGGGAGGAGACAGTTCCCCCACACCCTGATGCCTAGGCTGACTGGGAGCAATTTGCTCCTGGTCAGCTGTCTGCACGAGCAGTACTGTGCAGTAGCTAATGTGCAGTTAATCTGCTACCTGTATTTACAGGTAGTAAAAATAAATAAATAAATAAAATCACACATTAGCCTAGGTTACTGTGCAGTAGCTGCTGCACACAGTTACATGGTGACACTTAGTATGCAGTATATTATTCTGCTGCAAAATAAAGCATCTTGTGTAGACACACCCATCATCTATCATCTTTGAGAACTTGTGAGTCAGATAAAACCCTGAATAACTGGGAAAAGGGCAAATACAGCGGCCATCATTAAAAAGAGAGGAGGAGGAGGATATGGGGAATTACAGACTAATCAGACTGACCTTGATATCTGGAAAGATCTTGGAGCAGATCATAAAGGAATCCATCTCAAAGCCCCTGGAGGAGAAAAGGTGACCAGTAACAGCCAGCATGGATTCCTCAAGAGTATGTTATGCCTGGCCAACCTGATTTTCTTTTATGATAAAGTGACAGATTCTGTGGATGGGGGAGAGCAATGGACATGCTATACCTTGATTTTAGAAAGGCTGTTGACATTCTTTCTGTCTTCTGACATTTTAACAAGGCTTTTGTTAATGACATTGATTTTATGAGGTCTCTTCCAGCCCTATTTTCCTATGATCCTAATACATATTACAGTGGAGATCACATAGTACTAGATATCTTCAAGTCTTAGTTTTTGAAGTGATAACATTAAAATATACCTACCTTTTTTAGTGGCTTCAGCAAAACAACACCACAGCCTTCTCCCCTTCCATAGCCATCTGCCTTCTTAGAAAAAGGTTTACTCAGTCCCTCAGAAGAGATCATTTTTGCTTTAGTGAGAGACACAAAAGTACGGGGATCTATAATACAGTTCACTCCTCCACACAGAGCTGCTTCACAGTCTCCTGGAGGAAAGTAAATATGTTACTGTATTGCATCTACTGTGCATTCTCCAGTTTTACAGTGGTGAATTTAATTAATTTATATAGTAAATGTACAGCATTACCGATAACTGATTAAAACATTTCAGAAACATTATAGAAAAAAAAATTGTTTTCCTGAAAGTTCATTAATGCACTCAGTTTCAGGCCTTAAAAATGGTATCACTCTCAGGATGCATCCCCACAAGTATGCATGTGCAGGGTTGTGTATTTCCCACAGGACATATAACAGTGACACATTTGTGCCACTGCTATTTACCCCCAGGCACACCCCTGTATATGCATTCCAGCATGCAACAAAGTGACCCAGGTAGCATAGGGGAGGCTGCTGGCCCCAGCAGCCTTACTTGGGGTACAGAGGGCCTGCTGAGGCAGCAGTGGCACTGAGCCAGCTGCTCAAAGCCTGGTCAACAGCCACAGCACGGTTCTGGCCAGCAAGGCCCCCTTTCTGGCAGCACAAGCTACTGCCGCATGCTCCACACCATTTTTTTCGGTGGCCCAGTGTTAAAAAAACACTCATCACGCTACAAATTAGCAGCACGGTGAATGGGTGCACATGTGCCGTGTGCAGTTTGCAGCTCTTCAAACTGTTTTGAGGTGCCACAAACTGCACATGCATGCTTGTCAGGATGCACTCAAAGTGTTTATGATGGTATTAAACCTACAATAGAAGTAGTCATTGAAGGAGTTAATAATCTTGATCTGCTTAAAAAAGACCAAAAAAACAAAAAAATACCCAACTCTTTAAAAAGAGAGACACCATGATTTTGCAGAATAATGGCCTTTAACAATTTAGCAGGTCTTAATAATAAAATACTTCTATCTTCTAAAGTGTCTATAATCAGGGATGGTTTCTGAAAGCTGTATTTAATGCTGCCGCCTGTCACTGGAGGAATAAAAAGCTCTAGCCAATCAGTTCCATAGTGATACAAGTTTCATTCTATTTGCTTCAGTAATGGAAAGATGTGATAATTGAATGTAGTTATGAAACAGCTCCAAGTTCTTACTGTTTGTAACATGAATCTAATTCCAGTAAGAAAATGAATGCCCGGGTGTATAATATCATTGTAGCAACTGAACTGCAGTAGCAATCCTAAGTTCTTTCCTTGTTTCAATACAGCAAAAGCTGTGTTAACCAGCACTTTATTAGCCAGAATACTCTATTAACTGGCATCCAAGGAACGTGGCAAAAGCGAAACTGGAAGTACCACTCCAGGTTTTGCCGCCACTGAGAGCAGAGTTCTTGCCACTTCTTCGGCCCACAGCCCAGGGCAAAGCAGACTGAGCGGGGCAAAGCAGCCTGCGCAGGGCCCCCCTCCCTGTCCCCTGGCACACTGGGAAGTACACCAGATGGTGCACATTTGATTAACCAGCATCCGGTAGATATTTGATTAACCAGCATTCCCCATTCCTGGGGGAGGCCAGATAACGGAGCTTTTACTGTACCTTGTTTAATGGCTTGCATGGAGTAATGCAAAGCAAAAAAAAATGATGAGCATGCAGTATCAATGGCTAGGGATGGTCCAGTCAGGTTAAAGGTGTATGAAATCCTGTTAGCAGCTATGCTCATTGCTGTGCCAGTTCCATCATAATGATTTATTTCTGTTACCGCTCTGCTTGTTAAGATCTCATAGTCTCGATTCATTAGACCTGTAAAAACAGCAGACATATGTCATGTCAGCACAAGAGATTAAACAGATACTCAGATCTAAAATTGGTGATATTCCTTCCTCTCCTATTTTTGACTTATACCACTTTACATGAACTCACAGTGAAACTCTAGTTTACTAAAGTCAATGGCAAAATTCTCAGGAGCAAAAAACCAGGACCAGCATTTTGCTATTACATACATATTTGGTACTTGAAACTTGCATCCAAATACTAAATGACAGAATGTTTCTGAGGCAAAGTTGCACTAGTTTAACTAATGATGCACTTTAATTATTTTAGTTAAATTCAGGTGATGTCTTGTGTAGACATCCTTCCTTCAGTTTTAAACTGGCTTATTTTGGTTCAACTTAAATTGATCCTTAGTTGTCATAGAGTCATAGAGTCATAGACATTAGGGCTGGAAGGGACCTCAGAAGATCACTGAGTCCAGCCCCCTGCCCCAGGAGCAGGAAGTCAGCAGGGACCATAGGATCCCAGCAAGATAAACATCCAAATGTCTCTTGAAGGTGTTCAAAGTGGGTGCTTGAACCACCTCCGGCACCAGTCTATTCCAAACCTTGGGGGCTCAGACAGTAAAGAAACTCTTCCTTA